TAAACTTCCTTTCCGTGTAGACGTATTTACGTCAAATTCTCCGGAACCGTGGTTCCACTGACAACTTTTTGTGACATTTATATAATAGTATGACTTGTATTTGTATAACATATATTGTATTATTATGACTTATTCTACATCCTATTGTCATCTGACTAACTTATGGATCCATGGAATGTAATAAAGATGTATGTATTTACGAATGTTATTGTATAAGTCTCTACGGACACTACATACGTTGACGTCATTAAATATATTATAATTTTCATGACGCGCTTAGCTTCAGCAGTTTGAAAATCACCAGTACATGAAATAAAATGTTGACAGTAAATTACAATTTTGAAGCATTTTTCGAAATGAATAACAAGTTCCATCAGAATTCGGTGCATTTAAGCAGCAAAATGTTAGAATACGTTCACTGCAGATGTTTGAAATTTCAATAATTGTTACCACTGTTGATAATTATCGACAACTTTCTAGCATCCGAAGTAAATTTTAACCCTGCTGGGCGGTTGAATTTTTTATTTAAGAATAACCGGTGGACACTTTGCGTCCTTTTTCTATTTAAGATAGCACATACGTCCATATGACCACTCTTTTTGACTTTATTGCACTTTAAACTCTGAATTTTTTAGAATATCTGTGCTTGACTTTATTCGAAATGAAAGAACATTAAATCTCTTATAAAGATGTCTCAACTGCATCATCAAAATTGCGTTGTCCTGTTTCAGACTCTAAACGAAACAAATATTCCGTGACTCGTTTGCGAGTTTTACGTTCTGGTCCTTTTCTCCTGCTCGCAGTTTTTCAAACCAGGTTATCTGAGTGTTGATCCTATACTCCGAAAACGCTGAATCCAGTCTCACACAACTTCCACTGCTCTTGTTTGCTCGGTGCTGAACATGTAGACTTACATTCTCTGTATACGTATTTTGAGAATTATTTCTGACCGGATGCTTACTGCAGTTGTCTGCTGGGCTGTCGTGGCTGGCCGCCTGCGTACAGCTACTCCCACCTTAACTTCGGTCCCCGTCTCGGTTCTTCATGGTCTCCCGCCTTCTCAGTCACCCCTCCGCAACTCGAATCCGCTGAGCTGCTTAATTTTCTGCAATTGCGTTTTCACAATGGATTAGTTGTCATTGGACGATTTGTGTCAGAGGCGTAACTGATGTTCCAGGAGACTCAAATCATTTCTGTCCGAGAAAATAAGTTGCTTCTGTCCGTGACAGTGACTGGTGCATCAGATGTATCTTTGCACTTGATGAAGAATGTGATATTTTGTCATGATTATGGGGAGAAAATCACAAGATATTTTGATATTATCATGGATACAGAGAAAAGTTGAAAGCCATGCCCCTGTCTTCAGTCGCTATGCCCAGTGCCAAAAGCATAATCTTATGGAAGGAGTGGGCATCAACATAGAATTGAGCATGCTGTACCAGACGTAACTCACGAGACCTTTCTTCAGCACAGTGGAAAACATTAATATAGTTTCACCGCGTGTGTATTTGTTGCTAATATTAATCCCCTTAATCATTAGATTAATGCGTTTTGAATCATTTCTGATTTACTGTCGTCCAGTATGAGGATACGTTTGTTGTTTATGTATTTAAAAAAAGATAATTTTCATAACTCAAACGAAAGTCCATCCACTCAAAATATCTAAACACATAAAACAGCCCTTTGTTTGTTTTGGATCAATATCGCAGTTACTTGAATACGGTCACACGTTGGGGTTCTAATTAAAAAAAATTGTACGAAGGCTGTAATTCTAAATATAATGCAGATATATGTATAAGTTGTGTGAAATTAGATACCTCCAGAAAACAACGGCCGTACCCTAAATATTGTATTTCCAAATTTCGAAATAGTGATGATTTATACTTTTAAGAATTTTTCGCAATTTGCCAAAACTGAAGAATGAAATTAATTATTATGCAGAGACTTGGTCACAATAATTTCAACGTAGGAAACGTGTACCTCAGGGATGTGTGGCTATAAGAGAAAGAATAAATAGTATGATGATTTTGGGTAGAGCACTGTTTGCTTTAATACGGAATGATTCAGTAGAGACTTCGGACATGTGCCAAGGTTCTTGGATAAGCCAACCTATGTTTTATGTTTGTGGTAGATGGTGTAGACATGAAGGTCATTGGAAATAAAAACTCCCTGCATAGAAGAGCAAGACAGAAAAACGAATACCAAGTTATAAAGAAGTGGTCTCTCAAACAAAACGCATTTTCCTGATTATCACACTCGTTAATGTTTCTTCTGTTTAGTAATACTCTTCTTCGGTGATGTGCTACTGCACACTTTCTTAAAAATTGCCCTGCAAATCAGAAACAATATGAAAGAAACGAAACCGACAGAAAATGCTAAAGCAGCGATGACATCTAGCAGGAAGTACTGGTACCAGGCGAGGTCGAGTGCAGCTGAACGCATGTGAGGCGCTCCCTTGTGCCTGATCACGTACTCCGTCCAGAACACGGCTTGCTCCAGCGGTGTGAGCGGTTGGTCCCGGAAGATTCTGGACACGCGTTGGGCGTTCTCGCGGAACCTTTAAGAACACGGAGATTTTGCAAAAGTGAACAAACCGGAAGTGCCCTTGTTACAGTGCATATTATGTGGTTTTCTCATGAAATTCTTCAGGGTTCTGGAATCACGTTGGGCTGCAATTGAAAGAAACAGCAATACACTTTTTGGATTAATTTTAAGAAGTTTTTTTTCCGATTGAATGTCAGAAAGTCTTCGAAATTGAATGGGGGGCTGAAATTATCGTTGTTCCTTGTCATTTGGATATTGTTTTCTTACATGTAACTGACGAGTCCGTCTGAAACGTTTTGACACAGTACCTGGGTTGAAGTGCCGACTCTATCGCCCAAAGAACAGAATCCGTCGTGATGTTTTCAAACTCCAGTAGAATTCCGTATCCAGAATTCACGGCTTTTCGCATATTCAAGTGCTGATCTCCATATATTGGGATTCCCAGCAAAGGCACTCCACGAGTCAGGGCCTCCTGTTTGCTCAGCAACCCTCCGTGTGTGATGAAGAGCTTGACGTTTGGGTGAGCTAAGGACGAGAAGTTTATTAAAGTTGGTTAATATTTGAGTATTGGTAACCTATCTGGCGACGACAAAGTCGGTAACCTTGCAGGTACGAAGTTGTAATAACGATGACTTTGGTTTTCCGCCCGAGTGTATTAAATTAGACAGTTGATTCGTTTATTCATACAGCATCAATTATAAACGTGTTTGAGTCGGCTGTCTTCCGGGTTGTTGCGCCGTGTGGTCTGGAAGAAACTTCAGACCTCAAAACCTATATATTTGTATCTGTCAATAAATCTGGTAAGAAATGCTTTTACTGCTGAAGAAGTTTCATAGCGACGTTTGAAGGTCCTACCGGACAGTGTCGAACGGAAATAAAACGCAGACGAAATCTGATAATAGTATTTTTTGTTCATATAATTCTAGTCACTAGAAAACATATATTTGAAGACGCTTTGTGTGATCGCTTTTCGCATATAATAAAACACGATGTATGTGACTTCGGGTCTCAGGAGGTACCTAATTTGCAATTTAAATGCATCAGTACTAGTCAAAATAAAGATGGAGTTATTATTTTTAAAATTAATCAACATTGCAGGATAAATCAGATTGTTGAACTAATGGGCGGAATGAGTAATACAAGCCCGTAACTTTGATTTAGTTGTTGTACGACGTACGCGTTTAACAGAAAATGATAGGAAAATGTCTATGCTTAATAACTGACCTGATTGTCGCCGAATTGTTCCATGCAGTGCGTGGTGACTGACATTTTGTTCCGCACAAAGAATGTGTAGGTGTGGTCTTATAAAATATGTTTTTATGCACAGTGTTTTATAACAACTCATTGATTTATGATTTTAATAGACGGATTAATGGACTGAATTAAAATGTTTTCGCCATTGATGATGACTTTATGAGGTGGAAATGCGTTTAGCACGAAGTGTTTTTAAAATGTATACAGTTTTGTTTGTATGCGTAATTTTGAATTTTTATTGATAAATGATAGAAAAAAGTAAATATGCTTCATAATGCACGTGGTTCTCGCCGAATTGTTCTATCCAGTGCGTGGTGGCTAAGTGATTTTCTGTTCAGCAGAAAGAACAAAATATTTTAATTATTGTTATTGTAATTATTTACTGTGTTTCTTCCAATCATCCGACTTGCATAACATAATTTTTGTGCCCAAAACAAATATTTAAGCTAAAACAAATGCTTGAGAATAAATATTTCAGTTACCGAAACGTTCGTGTGGATGTATGTGTAATTAGTAAGAATTATGTTGAGAGTAAGGTATTATGGAGGGAAACAGAAGGTATGGAATGTGAACAAGAATCCATTTGATAAATGTGTTAACTGGATTAAGGAGGATTCGCTGCCTCTTTGTAACTTACCCAGAATATCTGACTGAGGCAGCCACTTCCCCAGTTTCACGTTGCTTGGTTGTCCTGGTAACGATTCTATCTCCCACTTCCACAACACTCGTTGCTTTAGTTTAGAGAAGGCTTCGAGGAAAGCGTTTCTGGCAGTTTCAGGCATGAGGGACCCTTGCAGGACAGAACCCATACTGAAGTAGATCACTCCTTGTGGAGATTCATCCAAGTACTTTTGTAGGTCCTTTAACGAGACAAAATATATGAATACTTTATCACATTGATTGAAAGCATGACGTTCTATTACTGACGAAGAGCGTTATAAAATACAGCCAATTTGCAAGTAGTAACGAAGAGCTAATTTAGTGTTTGGATTGCTTGTAAAATTATCTTAAGGTGTGTGAATTTACTGAAATGATACTCGATGTTACTGCCTCATGGTCATAAGGTCCTTATGTTAGTGTGCCTTTAAGACGGAATGGATCCACATGTCTGTGACATGTAGATTCTGGCACGTGTTACTCTTTTGGCTGTACAGTGATTTATTGTGCAATTTCACTACGCATTCCAGTTATAGTTGAGATTCAGTTGGAGACCTTAATAATGTGTCCACCACTGTTGAGCAGGATGTCCAGTAGTTAAGTAACTACATAAACTCTCAGAATACTCGTTAAAATTGTTTCACTTTCTTGGGGATACAAATTGTTTATCGTGAGGGCGAATTTTACGTATGGATAATTTTATCCAAAATTCCGCGTATACATTTTAGGAATTTTTACTACCAGTCTTTATGCCATAGTCCATATTCTTGTCTAGCGCCGTGGCAAGTTGTTTGTTTGAAATGAAAATGCTAATATACATTTCATCCCAGCGCCGTGTTATCTTTAAATTTGGACATAAGTTAACATAATATGCACATTTAAAACAAGACAGTGTTACTTTAAACCAAACTTGAGAGTTAAAAATATTAATAATCTAATATTAACCTTATAACTAACTAGATGGCTAACCGAACCCGAAAGTTCATCACAGAATTAACAAAAGTCCTCCACCGTTTCCTGTACTGGGCCTGCAAAATCCAATCAACTACATCTCCTATCTCCCATGGATTCCGCTTAATACCTTGCATCCACGTCTAGATCTCCCCAGCGGTCTCTTCCCTTCAGACTTCCCGACCAATATCCGGTGCACACCTCTTGTCCCATCAATGCGCGCTACATGTCCCGCCCATCTCATTCTTCTCAACTTAATCATCCTGACAATATTGGGGGAGGAATACAGATTTTTAAGCTCATGATTATGCAGTTTTCTCCATGCCCCATCGTCTTCTCTCCTAGGAACAAATATCCTCCTCAACACCCAATTCTCAAACACCTGCAATGCCTGTCATTACGAAGGTATATTTGAATTATATGTTATTGAACATTTGTCGGTTTGTTATATTATTAAAAACAGTGACAACATGACATTTATGAACACGTGAACTTTCGTGAATTGGGAATTCGTGTCTCGTAACGATTTGAAATTACTTAAAATGTAAATAAAGAACTGAGTAAATATATAGGGAGAGTAACGTGAGGTCTCAGGTAACTGTGATTTATCTCACCTGAGGTAGTTCTTTCGGTGGCTGCACGTGCATACCGCCAACTTCAATCAAGTTGGGCATTAGTGGCCTCGGATAATTCAGGCTGAAGTGATTGTTGACGAGAAGTAACGAAGTGTTACGAACAAGCTCAGACAATGGGGGTATCGGTTCCGTTTCATTAAAAAACTTTCTCATAATTGAATCCTGCCTGGGTATATTATAAAACTCTTGCCCAATCCTTAAATAGTCGCCGTTTACTGTATTTACCAAACGCTCCCAAAATGTCATATGATGGCTGAAGTGAAGAACGGGGTCGGGAATATATGAAAAGGGATTAGGATTTCCGACCCAATCTCCCATATAAGCTGTTCCTCCAAATGGGCATATCTGAATTATAGGAGCTTTGAATTTATGCGCGAACCCTAGAAAGCACTCGTTCATAAATGCTTCCACCATGATGGCATCGAAGTGGTGATCTTTGGAATGTATCAGAGCCTGAACTTCTGGATGTTGGAGAACTGAGGCACAGCATGAAAGACCCACGTTCCACACAAATATTGATAATCCAATTGTGCCCATGTTTTTTATATCATAGAAATTTGGTATATCTGAAACATAACAAAAATGTACGAGGAAAAATTCGCTTTTTAAATAAATTATAATACGTAAAAAAATTAGGAAAACAAAATGTCAAGAACACTGTGTGTTTCTGAACACTTCTGTTTTCCTGATTGAATGAAAATTTTTATAGCTCAGTGAATTGCACAATCAGAGCACAGCTTCTTCAATAATTTGTTACTAAATTGGAGGGGTTTTATGCAGCAACGAAACTTATTGCCGTATATTTATATATATTCTATATATTTATTGAAATGCGTACATTTGAAAATGTGTTTTAACTGATATAGTTCTTACCTTATGATATCTTGTTAAGGGCTGTTTGCATATTCTAAATATACACTGTGTCTTGTCTTGCACAAAATTGTCTATTTGTAATTTTCTACATTGGAAAGTAAACAAGCGCGCTACACAAGTAAATCAACGCCAATTCTAAGTTAATAATAAATTAATAGCCACCTGCCTGTAGAAGAGGACATTTGGCTTTGTATATATTATTTCAGCAGAAAATCTAATCATTTAGCATTTTATCTACATTAATAATAATATTTTATTATTATGATTATTACGATGCACTTAAAATAAGTGTTACCGCCTTCATGTCCTGATATTTATCAGCAAATCATGCGTAGTACGGAATTCCCGAAAAGTTATTTATTTTTGTAGGATTTGAGGTTTTCACAGCATTGAAAATGAAGATTTCTGTCTTCTGTGTTGTTGCGCTGTGTAGTCTGGTCGATGTTAACCAACGTTTCAGAGGTCATACTGATTCCGTCATCGCCCTGGTGACGGAGGCAGTATGACCTCTGAAACGTTCGTTAACATCGACCACACTACACAGCGCAACAACACAGAAGACAGAAATCTCCTTATTTATTTTTGTTGATTTTAAATATTTCCTTGGGGATGATTTTGCTTCTGATACGTACATACGTAAAACGAAGCCATTCGTCCGGCAACCATCATCGTTCCCATTTCTATCTTCCGTCACACTTCGTATGTAGCCTTCAGGTAGTTAGTTCAATTTCTTCACCTCCAATTAGTTTCTCGTTATAAATACAATATCTGTACCTAACGATATTTATGTTTCGTTGATTTATAATAAATTAAACATGTACAAAGTTCTCAAAAGAAAGAGAATCAATTCTAATTATTATAGTTTTAAATCTTAGTACGTAACATCAAGGTTCTCAACTACCAGTGTAAACTTACTGTGATCTTTCAAAACCATTTCCACTTCAATGTTTTTTAAGTTAGGAATGGGCTTCTTTGGGAAAGGACTGATGACTGTCACCCGATGCCCTCGACGGGCAAGCTCGTCAGTCAGGGCTGCGAAGACCTTGTTGTGGCTTATTGCTGGAGTCGCAATTATTCCCAAAATCTGAGCGCTGTGTGTGGTTGAAATTAACGCAACAACTAATGCCGCCAATCTGTACCACCACCCTGCCATCTGTCAACAAGAGATTAATGCATTGGTAATACTTGTTTTGCGTTGTTCCCAAGACGATGTGGAAAAGCTGATTTTGTATGTTGGAATTGTTACCTGACAACAGCACCAACATTTCTCATGCAGATATTACGTTCTCCTGAAGATTACGATAAGTCGAAGCTGGCTAAATTGATACTAGAAATTCTAGGTTTAAAGACGGGACATGAGAGGTTCCTTCGTGTTCGTGGACAGTGAGTACCTCATACCACGTCATGGTTGTCAGAGGCAGTAAGTTACTCCGAAGCGCTGGTACCACCTGCTAGACTACACGGAATCAGTAGATGACCAAAATTCAACCATTGAACCATGTGGTCGGTTCACTTAAATTTGAAATAGGTGCTTGGGAGAGCATCCGGGTAGGAAACTAAACAACCATTTACCCACATGTAAGCACAGCATGACGGTCACTGTTAAACGCCAATGATATCTTTGCCTTTTACGTTTACAAGGATATCCACAGGAAAATTTTAATTGAAATAGAAGAACAGTGGCTGAGTTCTGGAGCAACTAACATGATATTTCTGACAAGTTCCTCATGTGTGCGTTCCATCTTTTTATTTTTAAAACCGTTCCAGCTTCGGCAGGAAATGACTTATTAAATCCGGACGATACTATCGTAAATTTGCATAATTTGTAGGCTGTAATGAATACTTTATTCACAGTGTTCAATCTGTGCATCATATTGCACGGGATGTATGATCTGTGTAACTTAAATTAAGTCCATGAAATATTCCATTTCAGGATCCAAAAGTAATGTAAGCGCGCAGTTGATGCCATAATACCACTCGTTCAAATCAATCTTCCGGTATTTGTCCGCATGTAGTACGAATCGTTTCTGAAATCTAACCATCTGCCAAGATGTTCCAGAATAACTAAGTAACTACCTAACTAGATGGCTTACCGACCTAACCAAAGCCCTCCACCGGACCCTGTCCTGGGCCAACAAAATTCAGTCTCCTTCAACTCCTATCTCCCATAGATCCCGCCTGACATTATCCTCCCATCTACGTCTAGGTCTCCCCAGCTGTCTCTTCCCCTCAGGCTTCCCAACCAATACCCGGTGCACACCTCTTGTCCCATCCATGCGCGCTACATGCCCCGCCCATCTCATTATTCTCTACCTAATCACCCTGACAATATTGGGGGAGGAGTACAAATTTTTAAGCTCATCATTATGCAGTTTTCTCCATGTCCCATCGTCTTCTCTCTTAGGCCCAAATATCCTCCTCAACACCCTGTTCTCAAACACCTGCAATCTGTGTTCCTCCCTCAGAGTGAAAGACCACGTTTCGCACTCATACAAAACAACAGGAGGAGGTCTGGAATTCGAGTGTAAAATCGCCGATCATCCTGAATGAAAGTCTTCTGTCCTTGTGGACGAAGTTTCTTCAAATTGTGTAATACCTTGACTCCACAGAAACTCTAATCTTGCCTTTTGACAAATTATTTTCTCAACTTATTGAATACTGAATAAATTTCAGTGATCTGTATAAAATTACTTTATGTTTTTATATTTTAATTCGTACATTAAACAGAGTCATGACAAAATGCAAGAATAGATCTGGACGAGTTATTTCATCAGGTATTTCAGAATAATTTTCATAAATAACAAATTTCCATATCGCTCTGGTCACCTTTACTCAGAGAGTAATATTTTATTGCTGTAAAAGGTTTAAGTAATCTGTCCACAGCAGAAAACAAGGCGAAGAAGCGATTTGGAACGTGACGAAGAAGAGGGTATAAAATTTCCAGAAACATGAAACATTCTTTCAACTCATCCACTTTCTTTGCACTGGATAATAATACATTGAACACTCTAATTATAAACAATTCAACGTGAAACGATAATATATTGTAGTCCATATTTAGCACCATTGTGTAACATGTGCCTATTACAGTGGCCAGTATTAAGATTAGGCAAATGGAACGAGTGTTTTAATGTCATTAATACTGACTTATTCTTCCTATAATCAACTGCAGCGTACGAAACTGTTTTCCCAACAGACCAACATTAGATGTACACCCTTAAGCTGTTTAATCTGAATCTTCTTAAAAGTCTAAAATTTCTGATGACTTATCCCTCTCCGGGTAAACTTATAGAATGGCCAATGGATAAAACTTTAACTTGTCTTTATTTGATTTATTGCAGGCAAAGGGAAATGCTTCAGTGTCTACATTTTTCAAAACTAGTTGTAGACAGTCACGTGATAGTTATTTTAAAAACCAGTGCTTTCCGTTTTGTGCGCTCGCAATGGATTTTGGTTGCTGATTTAGAATCTGTGAATACAAAGTGCGACAGTGAATTTTTCATTCTTTGGGCACATAACTGTGGTCGCGTTTTGCTCCATAATAAATCAGTAATATTTCTGTATAAGACATTTCCTTCTTACTCGCTTTTAACGGTTTTCACAAAATACTTGTCAACAGTTGAACTTCGTAAATTTGAAGATTTCTGTCTTCTGAGTTGTTGCGCTGTGTAGTCTGGTCGATGTTAACCAACGTTTCAGAGGTCATACTGCCTCCATCATCAGGGCGATGAAGATTTCTGTCTTCTGGGTTGTTGCGCTGTGTAGTCTGGTCGATGTTAACCAACGTTTCAGCGGTCATACTGCCTCCATCATCAGGGCGATGAAGATTTCTGTCTTCTGGGTTGTTGCGCTGTGTAGTCTGGTCGATGTCAACCAACGTTTCAGAGGTCATACTGCCTCCATCATCAGGGCGATGAAGATTTCTGTCTTCTGGGTTGTTGCGCTGTGTAGTCTGGTCGATGTTAACCAACGTTTCAGAGATCATACTGCCTCCGTCATCAGGGCGATGAGTATGAAGATTTC